CCAATCCAGTATTTTTCTAATGTATTTGATTATGGAAACATTTTAGAGAGTATACCTCCTGTTTCTCTTAGTGGTATTTGGAAAATGCCAAATTTGATGGCTGTGTATGTGTGTCCTTTTATTTCCCTTCCGTCTAACAGATATAATTAAACAACATAATCACGTCATATCCAAGGGATATATGGAGGAACTCTGGCTGTTTACAGTTAGAAGAGAAAACCTGAGGGAAGGTAAAACAGTCTTCAAATATTTGAAGGTTCTAGCTGAAGAGGAATTGAAAATATTGTCTTTGAAACTAGAGAATAGGAGTAAGAACCAGGTGTAGGAAGGCAGATTTTGACTTTGTATAAGGCTTTCTAATAACTAGAACTTTGGAAGATAAGTCAGTGTTCTGTCCTGAAAGTTGTCAAGTGAAGATCCGGAGGGATGATGTAGAGGACTTTAGCCCATAGAGAAGGTATAGATCGAAAGAATAGTTTTGTGAAATAGGTTGAAAGCCATTGGACTGTTTCTGAGATATCCATATCCATATCCAACTTGGAATTTATATTCCTTGATTCTTTTCTAATTCTGTGAATCTGTGTCTTGGTCTGTAATGTCAGTAAAGTATACAAATACGTGTTATGAGAAACAAACACTAGTAGAAATTGTGGTTGTATGGTTAAGGGCTTTTACTTGATGATATATTTTTTTTAATTGGCTTTATTTTTTAGAGCAGTTTTAGATTCACAGAAAAATAGAGCACAAAGTTCAAAGAGCACAAAGCACAAAGAGAGTTCACGTATATACTCTTTCTCAACACACGACCTCCACTATCCATATCTCCTGGCACTACAGAAGTACATTTGTTATAATTAATGAACCTACATTGACCTATCATTATCACTCAAAAATCCACAGTTTACATTCGAGTTCATTCTTACTTGATAATGCTTTGAAAGAAAATGTGAATATTCCTGCTCATCTTTAAGAGAGTGGTTTTCAGTTATTTCTTGCCCTAGTTTAGTCTTTTCTGATTCAAGGTCTAAAAGATAGTTAAAGTCAACATCTTCTATTTTGAAAAAAGTATTAAGAGAAGGGGAAAGTTCTTTTTTTATCTTAAATGTTTATAAATGTTTTATTTTGTGAGCTAACAGTATTTTTTCTTTCTTTTAAGTACCAAAAGAATTGGTGGAGCTCCATTTGAAGTTGATGAGGAAGATTGGCAAATCTGTTACAGCAGACAGATGGGAAAAATATTTGATCAAGGTAAATATTAAAAATTACCTTCTCTGGGGCACCTGGGTGGTGCAGTTGGTTAAGCATCCGACTCTTGATTGCAGTTCAGGTCATGATCTCGCTGGCATGCTGGCATGGAGCCTGCTTAAGATTCTCTTCCTCCCTCTCTGCTTCTCTCTCCCTCCTCTCTCAAAAAATGTGCCTTCTCTGTTACTGAAATATTACTGTAGCATAAATTGATGTGTTTCATAATATGCTGAACTTTTAAAATGGTCTACTAAAAGTTGCAAAATATGACTTAGAATTCCATACAATTACTATCGGCATGTGATTCTTTTCTGCAACTACTAAGCCATAGTGTTTAGTCCTAAATTTGGGTTTCAGAGGTGTTATGTCCCTTTTGTGCCTAACACCGTGCCTAGGACTTTTCATGTCTTCTCTCATTTAATCCTTAAAACCATCCAGATAAATTAAGTAAGACATAAATAAGGCAAAGAAAGTTGTCATTCTTCCTTGAGATCACACTGTATGCATAGACACAGACAGAATTTGTCTGTTACTTAAATGGTAAGATGTCATAACACCTTTAAATCAGTATAGGAGATTACCAGTTACCAATAAGGCCAAAGCTATCCTTTAGTGAAAACAACCTGGGAAATCAGAATGCTTTACGATAAACCATTCAGGATAAATGGTCTGAAATTGTATCCAAACTTTGAGACCTACACAATTTTTGGAAGCCCAAGCTGATAAATGTACCTTCCTCCATGATATCTTTTGGGAATATTTTTAATTCTATAACATACCAGAATATTAGGTTATATTTTTTGGTATTTTGAAAACTGTATGATTTTCTTGTCTTTTAAAAAAATACATGTTTACCCATGTATTTTCATACCTGCTTTCTTTTTGGGGGAGGTACATATATGACTTCAGAGCACTATGAAAAGAGGAATCATCAGGGTATAAGAGTTGCTTGTTACATTATTATAAAAATCACATGTGCTTTTCCATTTATTGGTGTATAACACATCATTCCAAATTAAGTGACATAACAATTTTAATCAGTTCACTGGTTCCTTTTCTGTTGGTTGAAAGCAGCCACAATTCTGGCCACATTTCAAGAGATGAGATACAGACCCCAAACTAATGTTGAATGAAATCTCCAAAATATATTAAAACTGTGAATGATAACTGAGCAAATTTTTAACTATTCAAAGTGCTTTAGGGGTGCCTGGGTGGCTCGGTTAAGCATTCAACTTCAGCTCAGGTCATGAGCTCACAGTTCGTGGGTTCGAGCCCCACATTGGGCTCTGTGTTGACACCTCGGAGCCCGGAGCTTGCTTTGGATTTTGGGTCTCCCTCTCTCTCTGCCCCTCCCCACCTCATACTCGGTCTCTCTCTGTCTCTCAAAAATAAATAAACGTTTTTTTAAAAAAGTGCTTTAGGATATACCAGTGAAATCGCTGTTTTGCCTTTAATAAAATATTTATTAATGGTTAAGAATCAAGTTTTGGAGCTTTAAAAGAGATGCTGGAATTTCAGGGCATTGATTTTTATATAATATCTTAAAGGGTATATAGTCCCTTGTAAATAAATGTGGGTTTGTTATTAAAGTGGGTTTATTTGTTTACATGTTCTGAGAATTTAGGTAGAAATATCTTGTATACTGTTCACATCTCTTGTTAAACTTTAGAACCATGGATAATCTACTTTGCACCGTTGTGTCTGTTTCTTCATAAAATGTGAGAAATGAGATGATTTTATAAACCCCTTTAGTTCTATGGTGAAAACTACAGGTTCTAGCTCATTTTTTAAAAAATTGAGATATATTCACATAACATAAAATTTGCCCTTTGAAAGTATGCAATTCAGTGTTTTTTAGTATATTCACAAGGTTGTGCAACTATCATCACTGTCTAAATCAGAACATTTTTATCACCTCAAAAAGGAACCCCATACTCAATAATTACTCTCCTTTCCTCTTGTCCTTATAAACTACTAATCTGTTTTCTGATTCTATGAATTTGCCTATTCTGGACATTTCATATAAATAGAATCATACAATATGTGGCCTTTTGTGTCTGGTTTCTTTCACTTAGCATAATGTTTTCAAGTTTCATCCCTGTTAAAGGATGAATCAGCGCTTTGTTCCTTTCTATGCCTGAATAATGTTCCTTCGTATGGATATACCACTTTTTACTTATCTACTTACCAGTTTATGATATTAGGCTTGTTTCCATCTTTCGGCTATTATGAAAAGTGCTGCTGTTAGTAGACATGTGATTTCATTTCTTATATCTAGAGTGGAATTGCTGGGTCATATGGTAATTCTGTTTTGACTACTTAACTGCCAGACTGTTTTCCAAAGCTGCACCATTTTACAATTTCTCTAGCAATTTATGAGGGTTCCAGTTTTTCTACATCCTTCCTCATTAACACTTTGATTGATTGATTGATTGATTTTAAGCATCCTAGTGGGGGTTCCCATGGTTTTGATTTACATTTTCCTTATGACTAAATTATGTTGAGTGTTCCTTTCATATACTTGTGGGCCATTGTATATCTTTGAGAAAATGTGGAAAAATGCCTACTCCTATCCTTCTTTGTTTAGTTGGTTGTTCGTGTTTTTGTTCTTGAGTTTTAAGAGCTCTTTATATATTCTGCATGCTAGACCCTTACCAGATACATGATTTGCATACATTTTCTCCCATTTGGTGTTTTTTCTTTTACTTTCTGTGTAATGTTCTTCGATGCATGAAGGTTTTAATTTTGATGATGTCCAATACAGTTTTTTCTTTTGTGGCTAGTGCTTTGGTGTCATATCTAAGAAACTATTGCCCAAACTAAGATCATAAAGATGTAATCCTCTAATTTGTTCTAACAGTTCTGTACTTTTAGCTTCTGTGTTTAGATCTATGATCTCTTTTAAGTTAATTTTTGTATATAAGATAGGGGTCCAACCACATCCTTTTGGGTGTGGATATCCAGTTAGTTATTCCATTACTGTTTGTTGAAAAGACCATTCTTTCCCATATTTGATTGCCTTGACAATCTTGTAAAAAGTCAATTCAACATAAATAGAAGGGTCTATTTCTGAAGTTGCTATTCTGTTGACTTCTTTGTCATCATTTATGCTGTCTTGATTATTAAAGCTTTGTAATAGGTTTTGAGTTGGTTCTTTTTCAAGATTGTTTGGACTGTTCTGCTTTCCTTGCATTTTCTTAATGAGTTTGAGGATCAGCTTGTTAATTTCTGCAAAAATGCCAGCTATGATTTATATAGGATTAGATATAATCTGTAGGTAAATTTGGGGAATATTAGGTTAACAAAAATAAGTCTTCTGATCCATGGATCAGGATGTCTTTCAAAATATTTAGGTCTTTAATTCCTTTCAAAAACGTTTCATAGTTTTCTGAGTCCAGTTTTATACTTATTTATTCAGTTCTTCAGTATTTTCTTGGTTTGATGTTGTTATAAATGTAATTTTTTTCTTAACTTCATCTTCAGATCGTTCATTGCTAATGTGTGGAAATACACTAATTTTTGTATATTAATCTTGTGTCTTGCTTCTTTGTCAGACTATTAGCTCAAATAGTTTTATTGTAGATTTTTAAGACTTTCTTTTTTTTTTTAAATTTTTTTTCAACGTTTATTTATTTTTGGGACAGAGAGAGACAGAGCATGAACGGGGGAGGGGCAGAGAGAGAGGGAGACACAGAATCGGAAACAGGCTCCAGGCTCTGAGCCATCAGCCCAGAGCCTGACGCGGGGCTCGAACCCACGGACCGCGAGATCGTGACCTGGCTGAAGTCGGACGCTTAACCGACTGCGCCACCCAGGCGCCCCAAGACTTTCTATATATGAGATGATATCATCTCCAAATCCAGATAGTTTTACTTCCTCCTTTCTAATCTGGACATACTTTATTTCTTTTTCTTGCGTAAGAAAACCAGAACCCCTGGTATACTGTCGTATAGAAATGGTGAGAGCAGACATCCTTTGTTCCTGATCCTTGGGGGAAAGTTTTCAGTCTTTTAAGATTTAATATGATATTAGATATGTGTTTTTTTTTTTTTTTTAAGTTTATTTATTTTTGAGAGAGACTGAGAGAGCAAGCAGGGGAGGGGTGGAAAGAGAGGGAGAGAGACAATCCCAACCAGGCTTCACATTGTCAGTGCGGAGCCCGATGCAGGGCTTGAACTCATGAACTGTGAAATCATGGCCTGAACCAAAACCAAGAGTCGGGCACTTAACCGACTGAACCACCCAGGCACCCCAGGTGTATGTGTTTTTCATAGAGGTTCTTTATCAGACTAAGAAAGGTCTCTTCCTGGTATGTTGAATATTTTTTTATCATGAAAGGTGTTAGGTTTTGTCAGATGTTTTTTCTGCATCTACTGAGATAACCATGTGGTTTTTCCCTTTATTAACATGGTGTATTGCATTGATTAATTTTCATATGTTGGGACTGTGCAGTCCTACAGTCTCACTTCATCGTGGTTCATAATCCTTTTTATATGTTGCTAGATTTGGTTTGTTAATTTACTGTGGAGGATTTTTGTTTCTGTATTCATAGGGATGATGATGTGTTTTATTGAGATGTCTGTGGCTTCATAGAATTAGTTGAGAAGTTACTTCCTCTTACTTTTTGTAAGTGTTCATCAAATGTTAATTCTTTAATTTTTTTTTTTTTTTTTTTTTTTTTTTTTTTTTTAGCATTTATTTATTTTTGAGAGACAGAGTGCAAGTGGGGAAGGGGCACAGAGAGAGAGGGAGACATAGAATCCAAAACAAGCTATAGGCTTTGAGCACAGGGCCCAATTCAGGGCTCGAACTCACCAACTGTGAGATCACAACCTGAGCCGAAGTTGGAAGCTCAACCAACTGAGCCACCTAGGTGCCCCTATAGGTATTCCCTATAGGTATTGAGTCAATTTCAGTAGTTTGTGTCTCTAGGAAATTGTTCATTTTACCTAGCTTATTGGCATTAGATTGCTCATAGTATCCACTTGAGATCTTTTTTATTT